ACATGTAACCCCTGAATCTAAAATAAAAGTTGAAATCTTAAAAAAAAAGTTGGCTGCTATGATGATTATCAATAGAAGAGAAAATTCATGAAGACACTTTGTAAAAAATGATGCAAGTATCGGGGATGATTACTATTAAGAAGGCATCTGATTCATGGAAATGAAATAAATTCATAAGCACCTCAGTATCTCAAGTGCACACTCAGAAATTCATAGCTTCAAAACACCAACTCGGGTCTAATTGTGTGGTCACATTAATTAGGAATTTTCAGCTTTGTAAACTTGATTATCAGCACTAAGATGGCCACTGGGACAGTTCAGTGCAATAAAGATGAATGAATTGGGCATTTTACTGAAGTTTTGCTGTGGTAAAGTTCTTTAATAACACAGAGACCATATTATTCTGCTTTCTTACTTGGATATAAAAGAAATTTAGTTAAGTGAGAGGGTGATAAGCAATTAGGAAGCAATGTATATGTATAACAGTGATCTCGTAAATAGAATATTGGACCTAGAAGAAATTATCTGAAAGATGCAGGCATATCCAGGCTGTATGGCTTACTAATTCTGTGACTCTGGGAAATGTCTGAATGGAGTGTGCTTTATCTGTAAAATGGAAATAAAGATACTAACTTTTGGGAATATGCTTATGAGTTTTGGGGATAATGTAGGTTAGACACCTGACACTTGGCACATTAATAGATGCTCAATAGTTATAAGTTTTCTATCATTAATGCAGACTAGATGACAGTTTCTAAGCAGGCATACTTAAACGGTAAAATCACAGCACATTAGGGAGAGATTTTACATTGTTTTAGAGTAAGGGTCAGCAAAGTATGACACATGAGCCAAATCTGGCTTTCTGTTTGTTTTCGTGAATCAAGTTTTACTGGAACACTGCCACACTCATTCATTTTTGCATTGTCTACGGCTGTTTTCATGCTCCAAAGGCAGAGCTGAGTAATGGGGGCAGAGATCACATGTCCTGCGAAACCTAAAATATTTACCACGTAGTCCTTTATTAAAAGTTGGCTAACCTCTACTTTAGAGACAGATGTGTTTACTTATGTTGCATCCCATCAAACTAGCATCATGGGAACACTAAAAATGCAGTCTATAATTATTACTATTACATATGTGGAGACCACAAGTGTGAGATTTAGTTCCAATGAACCAATATGAATACTTTCTCAAGAATGGGAAGAGAAAGAATCTTTTGTCAGCTTGAATGCTGCAAAGTGATTATTACATTTCTGCCTCTACTTACTTGTTAGATTAACTGCCAACTAGTTGCTAATGTAACAAATGTGTTTTAGAAGTTAGAAAGTCCCTTTCTTTTCTTTTATTCAATTTTTTTTATTGCATTTTAGGTTTTGGGGTACATGTGAAGAACAAGCAAGATTGTTGCATAGGTACACACATGGCAGTGTGATGTGCTGCCTTCCTCCCCATCACCTATATCTGGCATTTCTCCCCATGCTATCTCTCCCCAACTCCCCACCCCCCCTCTTTCTTTACTAAGTGAATTGAATTAACATTAGATAAATAAGTTACTTCTCACAAACCTAAGCTATTTTATGTGCTCTCATTGAAGTGTGGGGAGATAATTGCTAGTCTGCTGAAAGACAAATTAAAAATGACTATTGCTGTCAAAAAGCATGGTGCATTTCTCTGTCGCTATGGTTCACAAAAGTACTTAATGGTTTCCCATATACCCTGTAACAGGGGTTCTCAAACTTTTGTTCTTAAGACTCCTTTACATTCTTAAAAATTACTGTGGCTCCCAAAGAGCTTTTGTTTATGAAGGTTATATGTATTAACATTTATATTATAAAACTGTTAAATTGTTACAATATTTGTTATACTATTTTAAAAATAATAAACCTACTACTTCCTAACAAAAATAGTATTTTAATGGAAATATTTATCATAATTATATTTTCCAAACTTAAAAAATAGTGAGAAGAATGGCATTAGTTTACATTTTTGCAAACCAATTTAATGATTAGCTTAATAGAATGCAGCAGAATCCTCATATTTGTGCTGTATTCAATCTATTGGAATATGAGGCAACATATAGCCTCTGGAAGACTCCACTGTACATGCATAGGAGAATGAGGGTGAATAACGAAAATTATGTCTTAGCATTATTATGAAAATGGTATTGATCTCATGGATTCCCTGCAAAGGTACTGGGACCATGCATCATACTTGGAGGACTGCTGCCTGACCTTCCCTCTTACCTCCCTTCTTCCTGGCTTCCTACTTCCCTGAAATACATGAAAGCATTTCCAAGTCCTCCATATTCTGAGACCAAACCACCTTCTATTCGTTAACTCTCTGCTCCAAAAGACTCAGATTTTGTCAGGCAATTTGACTGAGTCCCTCTCCTGCACTGATTTCTTTTATGAGTGTGTACCTGTGTGGCTTTTGGTAAGTCATTTTACATCTCTGAAACACAAAACTTGCATCTATAAAATAAGGCAGTTGGATTACACAGTGGCTTTTTACCTGAAGTGTGTAGACTCCTGGGGGCTACCAGAGTTACTGCCAAGGGACTGCAGATCCAGATGTCCTACAATCATTGTCTGAAGTCGATAGAGCATTTTTTTCCTACATATTCATACTCTAATTTTTAAATGTATGTAGAAACTAGTTACTTTCGTGATACTCATTAACACAATCAAAATTAGGAGGATTATTTTATAGTGACTTTTAGTCATACAATAAGTTTAACTAGATACAGTAAGTTTTAACAGCTAACATGTAGGTAGCCATAGTAAAATTTTTTAATGCTAAAAGCTAGAAAAGAGTCCTCCTTGAGAGCATCTGGGAACTATTTTTCCAGCTGTGACATGAAATAATTGTACTATTTTATTCTATTTCTATCACAAAAATATTGTGGCAGATTGCATTTTGTAAACTTGACCACAAGTTCATAGTCCATATGCTTTTTCTGCAGTATGATTTTGCCACTGCCCCAGCATGGTGTGGAGTCCTAGAATCTGGGCTGGCCTTATGACTCTCTTGTAACCAAAAGAATGCAGCAGAAGTGATGACAATGACTTCCAAGTCCAAGAAGGGTGAGAAAAGGCCATGGAGCGTCTCCCTTGTTCTCTTGAGATGCTCTTTCTGGGGGAAGCCAGATACCCTAAAGGAAGCGTGACTACCCCAGGACCACCATGTAGGCACTCTGGTGGACTGTTCACAGCCAGCTAAGCACAGCCATTCAGCCATCTCATGCACCAGGCATGTGAGTAGAGCTAGTGTGGACCATCCAGAGAAGCTCATCTACCAGCTGAATACCACTGAGTGACTTGCATCAGCATCATAGACAGCAGAACTGCTCAATTGAACCTGATTCAATTTCTGGCCCTCAAAATCATTCACTATAACAGAACAGCTCTTCATTTAAGTTACCAGGTTTGAGATGGTTTGCCATTCAGCAATAAAAAACCAGAGTGGTAGTATTGTGTCTTTGGGTAAATCATTATAACTTGCTGAGCCCTTGTTTCCTGAAGAGGTTGTGTGAAATGATCTTTATGGTATCATCTAACTCCTCAATTCTACAACTTTGCCCTCTTTCCATCTGAGACCATTTACCTCCCAGTCCAAACTGGAGCAAATGTCTCTGATTTGTTCTCTGAATTACTAAGGATCTGGACATATAGCCACATTTGAAGGAACTGGGGTCTCCAGGACTGGGGCAGTGAGGCTCAGCAATAACCAGGGCCCTGGACAATCAGTACAGTCAATAGTGGGAATAGCCATTTAGAACCATTTTAAATGCTTCAGGGGGCTCTTTCAGTTTTCTGAGCAAGTGTTCATTTGACCAAAGGGAAACTGCTCAAACACTTCAAAGCCAACTGGTCCAAGAAACCTCCAAGTCCCCTTTTACTGTAACATAAATCAGTTAGAGGAAAAATTAGAGGTACTTAAGAGCCTACTAAGCATAGATAAACCATTATAAGCCATTAAGCAAGTAGCTTAAAACTGTTATACACTGACCCAATGGCTTATAATAGCACCAGGAAGATACTACAAAGTGTTTTGTGAGTTCTTCTGAAGCTTGGGAAGATGATAAAGGGGAAGGAGTATAACAGTTGTGAAAAGGTGAAGTTAAAAGCTCACTCCCAACTGACATCAATGCACACTGCAGTTCCCAGCACCTAGTTCATGCTAATGTCAAAAAGGTAGCAGCTCTTGATGGTTTCACATAATCTACTCGAGATACTTTTAAAATTTAAATATAATTAGTTTGTAACGATAAAGTATTTCTTGATGTCCCCAGGTAGAATAAGTTGGCCTTACTAGGACACACTATTATATATCACTTATCACATTCTATTATGGTTATAGTATTACTATATCATTGTTTTTTAGATGTATGTTTCACTTCAATGATGAATTCCAGGTTGCAGATACGGGAGTGGAATGTCTATTTTTGATATGTCTTTTTTCCAGAACCTCATGCATAACAAGCGCCCAACAAAGGTTTGGAAAATGAATGATGAATGAGTGAACAAATGAACAAATATAAGAGTGAACCAATGAATACATAAATGGGCTGAGTATTAATACCCAATAAATAGGAGTTGTACAATGAATAAATGTGATACTGCATAAAAAGGTCTTAACCCTGTACTTGGCAAACATACGTGCTTAATAAATGTCATTCTTCTTCCTTTTCACATCTTCTCCTCTCCCTTAGAATGTCTCTAGAAATAGAGTTAAATAATGTTTACCTGTGTACATCTGACCTGTGGCATTTGGAAACAGTTTTGGTGTAATAAAATTGTCCCGTTTTAATTATAGTCTCTTCCCCTTCTCATCAATCGTTTCTTAGTTTGGGGGAAACCTTACTTCGTAGACCTCTCTGAATTTTTGGATCTGTTTGATAATGTGGGTGAAAGGGAAAAAATAGCTGCAGGGGGAAATCGGATTAAACCGTGTGCTAGCTTTATTACTTCCTTCAATAAGGTTAATGCCGAACACTTTACCTTGTCATCCAATTTTCGTGCATTGAATGCAAGCTCAACGTAGTCATCATTGCCAGATAATTCTTCCGCAATCACCTAAAGAAAAAAGCACACATCAGCTGCAGTAGAGGGTGGATTCCTCAGCTCCAAAACCCATGAGCAAATTTAGGTCCTGTTTGGTTGAAAACTCAACAGAGACAAATGTTGGGCAAGGAGTTTTTTCACAACCCTAGTGACTATAGCACAGCAATTCTAGATATTCAAGGGAACTCCCTGGAATAGACAATGGTGAATAACTAGACACCATTTATGCTGAGCATGAGAACATAAGAGATGGGACCCAAGCTGGAGGAAAAAAATAGAAGAGCAGTTTGGAAGAGCTTCTTTCTTTAAAGGTCACATGATATTGGATAGTATTTCTATAATTAACTACAATTTTTCCCCTTTGGTAAATCATAGAGAAGGAAGAACAATAATATTTCTTTACTGTTTTGAGTGAGACCAACAAGAAATGGTGGAATAAACTAGTTTCTATGTCAAACTTTTCTAATTCCTATTTTTCAAAAGACTGTCCCTGGGTTTTCTGAGATGAGGGTGTGTGTATATGTAAGGATCTAAGCCCTAATACCCAAGAACAGATCATTCCTGACAAAGATTTTGGTATAAGAAATCATGGACCAAAAGGCTTTCTCATAACGGGTAAATTTCCAATACTTAATAGTTAGTGACTCTCAACAAAGCCTTGGAGCAGAAATTGGTGGAGAAAGCAGAAAAATAATGACGACAAAAACAAAAATCTAGGGGCCAGTCAAGTTGCATGTAAGTTAAAACCTTTATAAATTATGTTAGGATTTACCAGGTATTCTCTGGACTTCCTTATCCTTTATCCTGATAAGCACATGGATATGTTTATCAAATTGCTTATGTCAAGATACTGAGATTTAATTCAATTTTGCCTCTTTTTTATCTGAGCTCAACAATTCCATTACGAGTTGGGTCCATATGCTCTCAATAGTCACTGGTAGTATTCCAAATATTTTGGAAAATTTAAGTTATTTTCATCGAATCTTAAAGCTAAGATGGCTGCCTTAAGAAAGATAGACCCAAAAATGTATGGGCAACTGAGAGTAGAGAACGTGAGTCCAGGTATACAGGAAAGACTCCAGAAGTGCTTGATAACCCAAGAACTATCATATTTGTATTTTTCATTTGGTCCTCTTTCATCCCTTACCACCTTAAGGCCTCTTATACTTCATTTGAGTGCTGACCCTTAGCTATTTTGCAGTCACAGACACCTTTGGAAAATGATGAAAGTTCTGATTTTCTCCATCTGCAGAGACCTAGAAAATTTCACGTACTTTTTCAAGTATTTTCTAGAAGTTATTAAAGCCAATGTTTTGATCTAAAGACCCAAAATTAAGAGAGCATTTAAACATTTAAAATTAAGAAAAAGATCATACTTTTCTGGGATGTGTAGAGGAAGAAAATCTCAGAATATCTCAGAGAAAATATGGCAAGATGAAATTTTGTTCTTTTGGGAAAGAACCATAGCAAACTTATACCTGGATCTACTGGGTTTGTGGGCTCTGGGAGTGAACCCATGGGTCCACGGCTTTTTAGGGCACCATTAGGGTCTTCAAAGACCACTTGAATTATGGCTGAAGATGTAAAAGCTTTAACATGGCAGTGTCATTTAAAATATTCAAGCAATAAACTCAGGTAAGTTATTGTGAGAATGGCCACAACTTTCACTGAGAACCCTTTTGAATTTTTTCCTGTGCTTAAAAAAAAAAAGTTCAGGGCCGGGTGTGGTGGCTCACACCTGTAATCCCAGCACTTTGGGAGGCCAAGGTGGGTAGATCATGAGGTCAGGAGTTTGAGACAAGCCTGGCCAACATGGTGAAACCCTGTTTCTACTAAAAATATAAAAATTAGCTGGGTATGGTTGTGGGCATCTGCAATCCCAGTTACTCTGGAGGCTGAGGCAGGAGAATCGTTTGAACCTGGGAGGTGGAGGTTATAGTGAGCCAAAATCACACCACTGCACTCCAGCCTGGATGACAGGATGAGACTCGGTCCCCCCACAAAA